AAGCCATTTGGACCATTGTGTCTGTTCCAGATCTTTGAAAAGTTCCTTTTCTGTTCCCCAAACCCTGACATCTTTTCTCCTTTCTGATTTCCCTTTTAAGGTTACAACTGAATCTGCTTCCACCGGGCTTTCAGATAACAAATTCTTAATTTAATTACGCACTGCGTAATTCTTTACCCTTCTCATCTTCCTGCTGATTCTTCAATAATTTTATTAACCTATTTTTCTCATCAACCTGTTCAGAGATGTTATTACACATCTCCGGAGTAGGTGGGACTTGAACCCAGGCATCCCGGACCAGGGTTAGGAACACGATCACTGCACCACAAAAGGCCTCACTCTGATTCTTCCACCATTTATTTTAAATTGGTAATCGACCCACCCACCAGTGTAAAGGGTTTCTTTCTAAACGCTAAATCAAAACTCTTGGTCATTTTCAAAATCTCCATTAAGTTTCTGAGTAACTTGCTCAGCCAGCCCTGATGTTTGTGCTCAAGTCCTGGAGTGAGTTTTACATTCAGGATTTTCTGAATTTTAAATTTTTTTATACAGTGCGGAATTATATTCTGATCAATTTGAGGTTTTACCAAGTGAAAGTGGCCAGGACTCTTGTGGCACTGTGGTACTGTCCCTATTTCTAAGCCAGGACACCCAGGTTTCAGTCCAGAGGTGTGTAATGAAATCTCTGAACAGGATGATTAGCGCCACTTTTGTTTACATCCAGAACTATTTCACTGCACCATTCTCTTCCCTTAAATTCTGGGCTCTTTGTTGACAAGGTAAGATTCCAGTTGTTGAAAAAGGATACAAGTTCAGGACAAGTTCACGACCAATTAGTGGCCAACATCACAATACCACCAGCTGACAGAGGAATCTACAAGTAATTAAAGGCTAATTTATCAACCTCTAGCTAACCCAAGGTCACAGACTTTCCTCTCGTCTCAAAGATTTGTTGCCCATAGGGAGAAGTGTCTTTGAAGTAAAGCACTTCCACAGCGTGACCGAGTAGCTTGAAAATAGGTCAGGCTGACAAGCTGGCCCAGTGCAGGGGAATCTCTAAGAAATGGTAGACATCATCTGATAAATACTGTACACCACTGCCACAATAATTAAATGGTTTCTAATTTTTGTCTACATCCTCATCTTGCTTCCCAACCCTTGCCCGAACATGGTCCATTGCATTCTGGCAATCTTCTTGAATCTTCTCCAGATATTCACTCACCAAGAGTCGAGCCTCAATAGCCAGTTTTTCTTGATAGTGACCAGCATTGGTCACCTTGGCCTATCTGTCCTTCCCTTATCCCCCAGGATGAGATGACCAACTATCATATTCAAATCACTCTCCTGCGAACAGCAGACTACTCCCTAGAGACCAGGAGTGAATTCTAGACCATCCTGGTTTGCTTACAAGACAACAAATTCTCCTTAATAAATAGGGATGAATATTACGAGCAGGGAGCTTGCTCACCATTGAGTTAGGGGTAGCCGATAGAATCACAAGGTTGGAGGGCCAATGGGAGGTTTTGTAGCAGGAAGTGATACTACGATGGAAGATGCTGACGTGGAGAGAGAGAGAGAGAGAAGCGGGGGAACAAAGACAGAAAAAGGAGGGACGAGGTGAGAGTGACAGAGAGAGAAAGAGGGGAGTGAAGGGAGGGAAAGTGGGAAAAGATAGAGAGGGAGAGAAAAAGAGGTGAACTGGAGAGAAAATTTATAAGCACACTGTTCATAGCATCCACACATTCACACTTGGAAAGGAAATGTGAGGAGGCGGCTGTGATATCATTTGTAAAACTTGGTAAACATCTAAGAAAGGAGAAAGTGGCATTAACAATGCCTGCTTTGTACCTTCTTTCCAGTGTTTAAATGGCACAGCATCACTCTTACACTGGTCAAAAACCAACAATGCACCGAAATAAAAAAGCAAGTGCTTGACAATTGAAGAACAGGAATGAAATTTGGTCAATATTTGAAGACACAGGGAGTCAAGTATATTTAGCAGAATCACTTGATTATTCACCCTGGAAATCTGAGAAAACTTCCTCCCAATTTACAAACATCAGCCATGGTTCAGTGGGTAACATTCTTAAGCCCAAATCAAAAGGTTGTGGTTTCAAGTCCCTACTATTAAAGACATTAGGACAGGGCATTCAGTATAATCAGGCAGAGGCGACATGGTTTTGTGAATGGGAAAACATGTTTAACCAATTTATTGAAGTCCTTGAGGAAGTAACATTTGCTGTAGGTAAAGGGGAACCAGTTAATGTTCTGCATTTCAATTTCCAGAAGGCATTTAATTTTAGTGCAAAGTGGAAAATGAAAGTTCATGATGTAGAGGGTCACATATTTATATGGATAGAAGATTAGCTAGTTAACACAAAGCAGAATAGGCATAAATGAGTAATTTTCTGATTGGCAAAACATGAAGGGTGCTATGCTAGGGTCACATCCTTTTTTTACAATTTATACTAAGGACTTAGTTGCTAAATTTGCTGGTGACATAAAGATAGAAAAGAGGTATACAGAGGTTATAAAGGGATTATAGATCGGACTGAGTGGGCAAACATCTGGCAAATGGAGTACTGTATTACTTGTTTGTTGGAAAGGGAACTGAATACAAAACTAGGAGGTTATGTTTCAGTATTACAGGGCAGGAGTGAGACCACATCTAAAATACTGTGTACTGTATTGGTCTCCTTAATTAGGGAACAATGTAAATGTGTTGGAAGTAGTTCAGAAAGATTGACTAGACTAATATCTGGAATGAGTTGCCTTATGAGGAAAGGTTGACCGGGCTAGGCTTGTACCACTCCAGTTTTGGACAGAAAGAGAAGTCTTAAATATTTCAATCAAGATTGGGAGAGGTCTTCACAGGGCATGTTTGGAAAGCATGGTTCCTCCTGTGGACTTGGTAAAATGGAGGGGAAAATAGCCAGATCTCCTATATTTCACCATGACCTCTTCACGGAAACCGGGCTTTGGATGAGAGGAGGATCAGTTTTGAGTTACAGCCCAAGACCAACGTGTGCGGGCTGATGAGTAGGTAACTTAGCGTTGCAGGAATGTGTTGGGAGAGCCTGAGAGACCTCCACCCTTCAGGAGAGGGACGAAAGATGATCAGCGGTGGTGGTTCGACGGCAGTTTCCCAAGGGGAATTACGCACGCACAGCCAAGCGCGGACCTAGCCAGAGACAGTCATGTCCCGTGACCGTACATTCTAAAACAGCAAACAGCTGGTACGTGCACACGTATTAGCAGCCAGCAT